CACACACACACACACACACACACACACACACACACACGAGGTCAATCATCATGGCCTAGCTAATTTTCATTTATTCTTATGAAGCAAGAAATACCCATGTACTTCTGAGATGTTGAAGAGGGTGGGGAGGGGGGAGAGAAGAACAAGGGAGAAAAGGAGAGATGGGAGGGGAAAGAAGGGAGGCGTAAGGGGGGAAAGGGGATGGTAGTGGGGTGCAGGAGGGGAAGAGAGGATGGAAGAGGTAAGGGAGGATGGGAGAAGGGGAAAGGAGGGGAGAGAACAGAAGAGGAGGGGAGAGGAGGGGGGAGAGAAGAGGAGGGGAAGAAAAGGGGACAGAGTGGGAGGGGAGAGATCGGGAGAGATGGGGTGGGGAAAGGGGAAGAGGAGGAGGGGACAGGGAAGGAAGGAGGAGGAGGGAGGAATCCACCCAGAATTGTCTTCAGTTCCTAGCAGAAGGAATGAATGATTCTCATGCTCTGTCATTTATCAAGAGTGCATAAAGAGCCAGGCATTCAGCATAATCCTTCAAGCATGTGATTCCCACTGGCCACCTCAGTTCTTTGAGGAGACTGTAGCTATCCTCACATTAGCTGGGGAGAGGGGAGTTGCCCGGTCAGGGGCACTCAGGACTCCATCCAGTCCTTTCTAGGGCCAGAGACACAACCCCTGAGTCCTGTGCTGCGTCCTTACAACCCCTTTCCAGGAATGCTCCCAGAAGCAGGTGGGGTAAATAGAGAGTGAAGACACCGTTGTGATCCTGTCTCAGTCTATGTGGTCTGTTATAACAAAACACCATAGACTGAAACGGGTCCCTTAGAGATGACAGAAATGTACTTCTCACAGTTCTGGAGCTGGGAAGTCCAAGATCAAGATGTCAACAAACTGTTTGGTGAGGGCCACGTTCTGATTAGCAGGTGGCATTTTCTTTTCTTTTTTTTTTTTTTTTTTAAAAAGGGGTTTCACCATGTTGGTCAGGCTGGTCTTGAACTCCTGACCTCAGGTGATCCGCCTGCCTTGGCCTCCAAAGTGCTTGAATTACAGGCATAAGCCACCACACCCAGCCACAGGTGGCATTTTCTTACTGTGTCCACAGATGGTGGAGGGGCAAAGTCTCTGGGCCCTCTTTTTTATTTTTTTTGAGACAGAGTCTCGCTCTGTGACTCAAGCTGGAGTGCAGTGGCACAATCTCAGCTCACTGCAACCTCTGCCTCCCGGGTTCAAGCAATTCTTCTGCCTCAGCCTCCCGAGTAGCTACAGGCACGTAGCTACTCGGGACCACAACTAGTTTGTAGCTACAAGTATGGGACTACAGGCACACACGACTACGCCCAACAATTTAATTTTTATAGTAGACACGGGGTTCCACCATGTTGGCCAGGATGCTCTCCATCTCCTGACCTTGGGACCGCCCACCTGGGCCTCCGAAAGTGCTGGGATTACAGGCATGAGCCACCGCACCGGGCCTGGGGACTCTTTTATAGGAGTGGGACGCTCCACCCTTATGACCTAACCACCTCCCAAAGGCCCCACTTCCTAGTACCATCAGCTTGGCTGTGAGGATCCAACATCCGAATTTTGGAAAGGCATACCCCTTCAGATGCTAGCATATCCCTTTCCTGTTTCTTTCCCAGAGTGCTAACATCCAGAAAAGGAACCCTGACAGTGAAGCGAATCACAGCCGGTCCTACCACAGCTCCCGTATGCTACAGTCTGGGTGCTTCAGCGCTTCGCACAGCAAGGCCACCGCACTGTCTTCCAGATGATTGGACCCCAGATCGAGGAGGGACAGGGATTTACTGCGCACAAGCCCTTCGGAAATGACCTCACAGGAGACACAGGTGAGACAGCAGTACATCAACCTGCAAAGAAACACACCGTCGACCAGCCCACGGAGGCTTCCCGCAGTGACATTAACATGCTGTCTCTGCCACAGGCAAAACCTTTCCAGGTATTCCTTCAATTCTGCTGTCACTCAAGAAAACAAGGAGCAGGGCACAGGGGCTCATGCCTGTAATCCCAGCACTTTGGGAGGCCCAGGTGGGCAAATCACAAGGTCAGGAGATCGAGACTATCCTGGCCAACATGTTAAAACCCCGTCTCTACTAAAAATGCAAAAATTGGCCGGCACGTGGTAGTGGATACCTATCATCCCAGCTACTTGGGAGGCTGATGCAGAATCGCTTGACCCCAGGAGGTAGAGGTTGCAGTGAGACGAGATCACACCACTGCACTCCAGCCTGGGCAACAAGAGTGAAACTCCATTTCAAAAAATAAAAAAATAAGAAGCTGGGTGCAGTGGCCCATGCCGGTAATCCCAGCCCTTTGGGAGGCCGAGGCGGGCTTCCTTTCACAGTCTAAACAACCGTCTCAGTGACAGCTGATTCTAGCCCTGTCTTATCCACATGTATGCATGAGCGTGTGACCCACACGTACACGGATGCCCTTGTGTGCACAGCATGTGAACAGAGCTGGCACTTCTCACTCTATGGACTTGAGTGGTGCGTGTCCCCAGTGTGCGTGTCCCAGTTTTGTTTTGTTTTTAATTTTTTTTTTTGCCTGTCCCCAGTTCTAAGGCCCTGCAGCAACTTGTCTCACTGAACACCAAGTGTCTCGCATGGCCTCACTGGGAAACTAGAGAATGTGCTCTGCTGTGACCCTTACCACACACCACCCACTGAGGAGGCAGGTCACTTTACGCATCAGCAGCAGGTAGGAGGACACGCTGGAGGAGCCCAGTAATAACCCTAAACATGCAAAGCCCCATATCAGAGAGGAATCTAATGATTTCCCCTTTCTTAAGTGTATTCTCCCGGGCTGGGCGCGGTGGCTCACACCTGTAATCCCAGCACTTTGAGAGGCTGAGGCAGGCGGATCACCTGAGGTCGGGAGTCTGAGACCAGCCTGACCAACGTGAAGAAACGCCATCTCTACTAAAAATACAAAAATTAGCTGGGCGTGGTGGTGGGCGCCTATAATCCCAGCTACTTGGGAGGCTGAGGCAGGAGAATCGCTTGAACCCAGGAGGCAGAGGTTGCAGTGAGCTGAGATTGCACCATTGCACTCCAGCCTGGGCAACAAGAGCAAAACTCCATCTAAAAAAAAAAAAGCTGGGCGCGGTGGCTCAAGCCTGTAATCCCAGAACTTTGGGAGGCCGAGGCAGGTGGATCACGAGGTCAAGAGATCGAGACCATCCTGGTCAACATGGTGAAACCCCGTCTCTACTAAAAATACAAAAAATTAGCTGGGCATGGTGCTGCGTGCCTGTAATCCCAGCTACTCAGGAGGCTGAGGCAGGAGAATTGCCTGAACCCAGGAGGCAGAGGTTGCGGTGAGCCGAGATCGCGCCATTGTACTCCAGCTTGGGTAACATCAGTGAAACTCCGTCTCAAAAAAAAAAAAAAAGTATTTATTCTCCCCTACCCCAGCATCCAGGAAACCCACAGGGACATCATCCCGCTTCATCACGACCAAGATTTACTGAGCTCCAAATGAGATGGGAGACATATGGGGGCTAGTCCTGCACCTCCTGAATTCAATCTCATGGTGCCTCTGTGGTTTCTTATTAGCACTGTTTTATTTATTTATTGTGAGACGGAGTCTTGCTCTTTTACCCGGGTTAGAGTGCAGTGGTGTGATCTTGGCTCACAGCAACCTTCACCTTCCGAGTTGAAGTGATTGTCTGGCCTCAGCCTCCCACATAGTTGGGATTACAGGTACCCGCCACCACACCCGGTTAATTTTTGTAATTTTAGTGGAGAGGTTTTGCCATGTTTACCAGGCTGGTCTCAAACTCCTGACCTCAGCCTCCCAAAATATTGGGATGACAGGTGTGAGCCACTGTGCCCAACCAGCTCCATTTTACTGATGAGCAACTGAGGCATAGAAAGGGAACTCAGGTCTACCTATGGATTCCACATTCTGCCATGCCCCTCAGTAAGCACTGGATTGCTTTGCTAACGGGCGGACCCAAGTGCACACTTCAGAAGTCTCCCCCTCAACCTGCTACCCACAGCCCCACTTACATCAGCGTCTCGAGGGCACAGTTCGGGTGCTTCAGGCCTTCACACAGAAACACCATGCCTTCATCCCTCAAGGGGTTTTCCACCAAGGAGAGAAGTTTCAGCTTGTTGTTGCAGGCCAGAACAGAGGCGATGTCTTCACAAGCTTCATAGGAGAGGTCACACTTTCCCAGTCTACACACAAGACACACACCATGAGATGGGACCAGAGCTTTCAATGACTCATGCAAGATTGGCCACGGACCACACGACACCTCTGATCCTAATCTTGCACCTGCCATCCATTATCTACATTACACATTACAGGCTCTTTTTGAGACGGAGTCTCACTGTGTGGCCCAGACAGAAGTGCAGTGGAGTGATCGCAGTTCACTCCAACCTCCGCCTCCTGGGTTCAAGCAATTCTCCTGCCTCAGCCTCCCGAGTAGCTGGGATCACAGGTATGCACCACCACGCCCAGCTAATTTTTTTTATTTTTTTTTTTTTTTTTTTTTGAGACGGAGTTTCACTCACGTTACCCCAGGCTGGAGTGCAATGGCGCGATTTCGGCTTACCGCAACCTCCGCCTCCTGCGTTCAGGCAATTCTCCTGCCTCAGCCTCCTGAGTAGCTGGGATTACAGGCATGCGCCACCATGCCCAGCTAATTTTTTGTATTTTTAGTAGAGATGGGGTTTCACCATGTTGACCAGGATGGTCTCGATCTCTTGACCTCGTGATCCACCCGCCTCGGCCTCCCAAAGTGCTGGGATTACAGGCTTGAGCCACCGCGCCCAGCCTATTTTTTATTTTTAGTAAAGACAGGGTTTCACCATGTTAGCCAGGCTGGTCTCAAACTCCTGACTTCAAGAGATCTGCGCACCTCAGCCTCCCAAAGTGCTGGGATTACAGGCACCAGCCACCACACCCGGCCCACAGCTGCCTTCAGATCTCTCTCTCCATCCTACCCAAAGGGCAATGCATATTGCAAGTTTTTTGCATGGATTGTTTGCTCTCCATTATGATAATTTTTAGAAAGTTCCTCAGTCTTTTAACTTTTTATTACTTATTGCATGCCTCTATCAAATTATCTTATGTACCCCATAGAAATCTCCTCATTCTTCAAGCCTCTTGAAAGTATGATGGGGATCTCTCGTCCCAGACCAAGAGGAAATTAGAGATAAGATGGAACAGAAGCAATATTTAAAGATAGAGATCATGGTAAAGTGTCCTCAGAAGCCTGTGCAAACATTCATCCACAAATGTAGGAAGCTCAGTGAATTTTTAAGCAGTTTAAATACAAAGAAATACCAAAACCACACAAAATTAGAGGGAAAGAAAAAGCCTTAAAATTAGCCAGAGACATGCTGCCTACACTGGTGAAATACTGATGGCTACACTTAGAGCATGGAAGCCAGAATGGCATATGCCTGTAGTCCCAGGTACTTGGGAGGCTGAGGCAGGAGAATCACTTGAACCCAGTTGGCAGAGGTTGCAGTGAGCTGAGATCGTGCCACTGCACTCCAGCCTGGGTGGGGAAGAAAAAAAAAAAGGAACAAAACATTGAAAACCTACAATTCCCTGATGTGTAGGGGAAGAATCTTCAAAATTAAAATCAAAAGAGGCATTTGTGGCTCATAAATACACCATGGTCACCTGGAATACACCATGGTCATCTGGTTTATAAAAGTAACTACTGTTGGTTGTTCACTTAAGAAAAAGTCATCTTTCAACAGCATTCTGTGTTCATGTGTGAAAATTTTTCTTAAATCTGACTTTATACTGCACAGAAACATTAATTCAAAGTAGATTATAGCCCCAATTTTGCATGGTAAAATAAGACTTTTAGAGAAAAATGCATAGGAAGTTATCTATGACTTTGGGCCTGGAAACAATTATTTTTTTCTTTTGAAACTGGGTCTTACCCTGTCACTCAGGTTGGAGTGCAGTGACGTGGTGACAGCTCCCTGCAGCAACCTTGGACTTTTGGGCTCAAGAGATCCTCCTGTGTCAGCCTACCGAGTAGCTGAGACTACAGCTATACACCACCATACCTAGTGAATTTCTTTTTTAAGAGATGGGGGTCTCACTGTGTTGCCCAGGCTGGTCTCCAACTCCTGGCCTCAAGTGATCCTCCTGCCTCAGCCTCCCAAAATGCTGGGATCACAAGCATAAGCCTCTAAGAGGCAACAATTCCCTAAACACATGCAAAAGACAGCTGAACATGAAAAGATCAATTTAGTTTTGATAAGGAATCTCTCTTAATTCAAAGATGATGTTAAGAATGTGGAAAACCAAACCACATAGAAGATATTTGCAATGCATATATATTTGACCTAGGATTCATTCCCCAAAATAGAAAGAACACCCATCAATCAATTAGAAAAAGACAACCCATTAAAACAATGGGCTACACCAGCCCATCAAACAGACATATCACAACAGGAAGCCCAGAAAGGCACTCAAATTCTTAGTCATCAGAGAAATGCAAATTAAATCCGCTCACACATTATGCCCTAAGCAGAATGGATTTGAAAAGATCAACGCCATCAAATGTTGGCGAGAAGGTGGGACAAGTGGAACACGTTCATTTCATGGGAGTATAATCCGGGGAAGCCGCTGGTTAAAAGATACTGATTAAGTCTAGTTTCACTGCAAGTTTTATAAAAAGTTATTTTTTAAAAGCAGCTTTGGGCCGGGCGCAGTGGCTCACACCTGTAATCCCGGCACTTTGGGAGGCTGACTCTGGTGGATCACCTGAGGTCAGGAGTTTGAGACCCGCCTAGCCAACATGGAGAAATCCTGTCTCTACTAAAAATAGAAAAAATTAGCCAGGCATGGTGGTACATGCCGGTAATTCCAGCTACTTGGGAGACTAAGGCAGGAGAATCACTTGAACCTGGGAGGCAGAGGTTATGGTGAGCCGAGATGGCGCCACTGCACTCCAGCCTAGTTAACAAGAGTGAAACTCCATCTTAAAAAAAAGTTTTTAATTTAATTTAAAAATTAAAACAGCTTTGTACATTTCATTAGTAAAATTTCCTCGTTGTAAGAATGCACTGGTGTTATGTAAGGTGCTACCTTTGGTGGAAGCTGGGTGATGATTGGTACGTGGGACTTCTCTGTACTGATTTCCTGTGAGTATAATAATCTTTCAATAAAAAGTAAACAATGACAAAGTAAAATGGCTGATGTGGAAAAACAGGTGTTTGTCATAAAGGTTTCCAGACACACATGAATTAAGGTGGCGGTATCCATAAAAATGTTTGTCCAGGGCCTCTGCATACTAGAGGATGGCTTTTTTCCTAGTACAAGAGCCCTGCATTAGATTTAAGCAAATATCTCATTCTGTTTTAGCCAAGCTGACCCCTCCCACCACCAGAAGAGAAGCATCACTCTCATCTATCCTAGGACACTTCACAGACTAGCACTGCTGACATTTGGACTAGATAATCCTTCATTGTTGGGGAGCTGTCCTGTACATTACTGGGTATTTAGCAGCAACCTTGGTGATGTGGTTTGGCTCTGTGTCCCCACCCAAATCTCATCATGTAGCTCCCATAATTCCCACGTGTTATGGGAGGGACCCAGTGGGAGATAATTAAATCATGGGGGCAGGTCTTTCCCATGCTGTTCTCGTGACCGTTAAGTCTCACAAGATCTGATGGTTTTATAAAGGGGAATTTCCCTGCACACGCTCTTTTCTCTTGTTTGCCACCACGTGAGATGTGCCTTTCACCTTCCACCATGATTGTGAGGCCTCCCCAGCCATATGGAACTATGGTAAATCCAATAAATCCCTTCCTTTCGTAAATTGCCCAATCTCAGGTATGTTTTTTCAGCAGCGTGAAAACAGATTAATGGGTTTGGTCTCTATCCACCAGATGCCAGCAGCACCCCCCAACTCAGTTGTGATCACTGAACGTGCCTCTCAACATTGACATCCCCTAAGAGACAAAACTCTCCCCATTGACAACTACTTAGCTAGAGAGAACCTGATTTGAAGACCTCCCACCACCACCACCACACTGAAGTAAATGAAGAATGGTTAGTCTGCCCCAAAAGGCAACGTTTCTACCTACATTATGTTCCCCAATCCTTATGTTAATATTTAATAGATGAAACCCTATACAAATAATGTAATTATGAAACAGAGCAAAATACTATGGAATTTTCAAAGTTTCCCGAGAAGAGAAAGAATAGAAGTTGCATTGATGGGCATTTGGTTTGGTCCATAGTCATGCACTGTTCACAATAGCAAAGACTTAGAACCAACCCAAATGCCCATCAATGATAGACTGGATAAAGAAAATGTAGCACACATGCACCATGGAATATTATGCAGCCATAAAAAAGGAACAAGATCATGTCCTTTGCAGGGACATGGATAAAGCTAGAAACCATCAGTCTCAGCAAACTGACACAGGAACAGAAAACTAAACACCGCATGTTCTCACTCATAAATGGGTATTGAACAATGAGAACACATGGACACAGGGTGGGGAACATCACACACCGGGGCCTGTTGGGGCGTGTGGGACTAGAGGAGGGAGAGCAGGGGGACGGGGGATAGGGGAGGGATAGCATTAGGAGAAATACCTAATGTAGATGATGGGGTGGGGCGGGGGGATGGATGCAGCAAACCACTATAGCACATGTATACCTATGTAACAAACCTGCACGTTCTGCACATGTACCCCAGAACTTAAAGTATAATTTAAAGTTGCCATGATACGGAAACAGCTTCAATGAGGAACGATATCCACAGCAGTTCTACAAACAACCCTTATGCACAGAACCTGCCTCTTTCTCCCGATAAGTCTGGATGCATAAAATTAACAGAGTATATGTGAATCTGTCAACTACATTTTGATGGTTACTGCAACAAAAAGACAGTGAAGTGGGAGAGAGAAGACCGTATTATTCTCTTGGCGGGTTTCATGAGCTGACTTTGTTTATTGCTGCCCCAATGACTTCCCTTTGTTCTCTTTTGAAAGATACACAGGCTCTCCTAAAAATCACCCAATTAAGATAGGGGCAGCCCAGAAAATTTTCAAGAGAAACGTTACTTTGGGCAAGTCACGTTTTCCTTGGCTTTAATGCTGTCAACTGCCAAATTAAGACAATCACACTTGTGATCATTAACATGCTTCACTTTTAAGTTTCTATAAATATCTTTAGGAAAACAAAATGGTGTTGTTTTATCCTGGTTTGTTGACAGCAGAACCAAGAAGTATCAAGTGAGGTGTCCATGAGATGAGGCTGGGTGCAGCGGCTCATGTGGAGTACTGTAATCCCAGTACTTTAGGAGGTCAGGGCGGGCAGATCACTTGAGACCAGGAGTTCGAGATCAGCCTGGGCAATAGGGTGAAACCCCATCTCTACAGAAAATATAAAAATTAGCTGTGTGTGGTGGCGTGCACCTGTAATCCTAGCCACCCAGGAGGCTGAGGTGCAAGGATTTCTTGAGCCCAGGAGGCTGAGGTTGCAGTGAGCCAAGATCGTGTCACTGCACTCCAGTCAGGACAACAGAGTGAGACCCTGTCTCAAAAAAAAAAAAAAAAAAAAGTAATTAAAGTGAGATGGAAAGGTGAAAACAAACCTTCTGACAGCAGGCCCTGCCCACTGGAATCTTCCCTCACCTTACCAGACAGACCGAGATCCAAAAGATGAAAAACAAGAGAGGTAAGGACTGATGCAGTGACCCTCCAGAAGGAAAACGAGAACGTTCAAACTGCAAAGCCCACCTTGGGGAAAACACCATTTGGCACGTACAGCCCAGACTCACATGAGCTCTTCGATCTTGCACATCGGGTGCCTCAGCGCCTCACACAGGTACTTGACGTCGGTGCGACAGAGGCCAGTGCCATACAGGCTCAGACTTTTCAGGTGGGGGTTGTGAAGAACAGCCCTAAATAATTCTGAATCATGTCTAAAGTTAGACATAAAAGTAAGCCTGCAAAAGATTAAAAAAATACAGTCATGCAACGAGACCCCTGCACAAAGCCAGACACCTCTTGTACGATTCTTCCTGCCCTGAATACTTGGCCTCACAACACTGTTTCTGGAATTCTGGTTACTCCTGCTCATAAATTATTTCTCGATGGTATCTCCAGACACCAGACAAGCACAGAGGCTCAAGCTCTTGAGAATTTTCCTGTTTCTTCCTAGTCTGTCCACTAGTACGTAACACGAAGCACAGAAGGAAAATGAGTCAGATGAATCCCGTGTTAAACTGAGCCCCTGAGAACAGGGACAAACTATGCTTGTACCTCTTTGTGTTCCAAGATTAATGCCTCACATAAAACAGACAGGCACATATCTGAGTTAATGCTCCAAGCAAAACCGTTACCCAGGGAAAGAACCCATTTCCTTTTCAAAACTAAGATTTTTTTAATAAAGGAGACAATGTTAAGCACTGTCAAAAAAACTCAGGCTCCAGAATTACAGAAAACTGGATTTGACATTTTGCTCTTCTCCTTGTTGCTTTTGCAAGATTGGGCAAATAACCCAATGGCTGTGTGGTCCAGACTCTTCATGAAATTAAAAATACAGTCATGGTGATTGAGAAATTAGCATTTAAGGCCGTGCACAGTGGCTTACACCTGTAATCCCAGCACTTCAGGAGGCTGAGGCAGGCGGATCACATGAAGTCAGGAGTTTGAGACCAGCCTGGCCAACAAGGCGAAACCCCATCTCTACTAAAAATACGAAAAATTAGCCAAGTGTGGTGGTGCGTATCTGTAATTCCAGCTACCCAGGAGGCAGAGGTAGTATAATCGCTTGAACCTGGGAGGCAGAGGTTGCAGTGAGCTGAGATCACGCCATTGCACTCCAGCCTGGGCAACAAGGGCAAAACACCATCTCAAAAAAAAGAAATTAGCATTTATTGTAATGCCTGCAACACGGCCAATTCATGTTGGCTTTTATTTTAATATCTACATGTATTTGCCATATATGTGTATTTATAAACCAAATACGTATCTATAAACCAGATATTTACCAGATAAATATGTATTTGCAAACCAGAATATGTACTTATAAACCAGATAAAATTCATATATAAACCAGATAAATATATATTTATATATTAGCCTGATAAATGTGTATTTACAAACCAGACACAATAAGTATAAATACATGACACGTAAAAACTGCTGCATGAGACTCCTGGTATTATAGCAGATGAGTACACCCTGATTTCTCTCCTAGTCAACTTTAAGAAATGACAGAATTCTGGCCGGGGGCGGTGGCTCATGCCTGTAATCCTAGCACTTTGGGAGGCCGAGGTGGGTGGATCGCCTGAGGTCAGGAGTTCAAGACCAGCCTGGCTATCCTGCTGAAACCTCATCTTTAAAAAAAAGACGCCTGTAATCCCAGCACTTTGGGAGGCCGAGGCAGTTGGATCACGAGGTCAAGAGATCGAGACCATCCTGGTCAACATGGTGAAACCCCGTCTCTACTAAAAATACAAAAAATCAGCTGGGCCTGGTGGCGCGTGCCTGTAATCCCAGCTACTCAGGAGGCTGAGGCAGGAGAATTGCCTGAACCCAGGAGGCGGAGGTTGCGGTGAGCCGAGATTGCGCCATTGCACTCCAGCCTGGGCAACAAGAGCGAAACTCCGTCTCAAAAAAAAAAAAAAAAGAAAAGAAAAGAAATGACAGAATTTTAAAAGTAAATATTTTGCCATGTTCAAAAACCAGAATGGGAATTTTGAGTAGGCCAGAATCAAAATTAAGGGCAGATTGCAGAAGGAAATGGCAGGCTGGAGGGACCGCGGGGATTGCTGGCGGAGTGATCCAGTCAATGTACGAGCGATACCCAGGTACCACCTGCCCATGGAAAGTAGGCATTCTCTGTCATCCACATATTCTGTACAGTGAACCATTGTCATCAGTTAGGTTCGTGGAAACTCTCCTGAAGTCCGAGTTTCAAGACATCTCTTTCTAGAGACAGCAGTCTTGAGTCTGCTATGTTCACTTTCTTCTGCACAATATGTTGGCCAATAATTTGATGCACTCTTTTTTTTTTTTTTTTTTTGAGACGGAGTTTTCGCTCTTGTTACCCAGGCTGGAGTGCAATGGCGCGATCTTGGCTCACCGCAACCTCCGTCTCCTGGGTTCAGGCAATTCTCCTGCCTCAGCCTCCTGGGTAGCTGGGATTACAGGCACGCGCCACCATGCCCAGCCAATTTTTTTTGTATTTTTAGTAGAGACGGGGTTTCACCATATTGACCAGGATGGTCTCGATCTCTTGACCTCGTGATCCACCCGCCTCGGCCTCCCAAAGTGCTGGGATTACAGGCTTGAGCCACCGCGCCCGGCCTTGATGCACTCTTAACAAAAATATGTATAAGGTGCTTTGGGAGCATAGAAAGTCTTCGATGATGACATGACCTTTCAAGCTGAAGGAAGACTTAAATTTAACCCAACAGCAGTAAGTTGGCTCATAGGATTGAAGAGAACAGCATGGCCCAGGCAAATCAAGACAAGTGAAGTATCAGGAACAACTGTGTTTCTCTCTACCCTCTCATACATTATGTGTATAAAATAACAAAAACGTCATTAGGGTTCAAAGAAGCTGAAGAAACTATTGCACATTAGCACCCTGCTCTGTTTTATCAATGCTACCTATTATGCTTATCTTTATTATTTTTCTTTTTTACAAAATTGAAGGCTGTTTTTCTGTCTGTCCTCAGCACTCTTCCTTTCTCACCTGGGAAACATCTCTTCTCCATCCATCCACATCCAAGCAAAGCTCACCCCTAACCAGGACTGCTCCCTCCCTGTCCCTACGACTAGATTTCATTCTAGATGTCACTATGTTTAATACACTGGACTGCAGCTCTTCATTTACACACTGGTCTTCTTCAAAAAAGGCACAAGTAGAGAGAAGGAAACTCTGCTATTTGCTTAAAGGACAAGTTAACATTGAACTTACATGAGTTTTTGGAGTTTACAAACAGGCTGAGCCAGCGCTTTGCAAAGAATGGTCAGGGAGGCATCATCGAAGCTGGTGTTCTCCATGTCTAACGTCTGGAAGTTCTTGTTGTTACTGAACATTGAGCAAAGCTCCCGCCAGTACATGAGCTTTTCATTGTGTCTATGAGAGAACAGAGACTGATCATCCAGTGACTAAACTACATTCAAGACATTCTCAAAACAGGAAGAACACCATTTCCAAAGCCCCTCAAAGCTGACGAGACACCCAGGCCTGAAGAGGGAGAAAGTCAGCCAGGCAAACTGAAGCAACATGACACAGTAGTCAGAAAGCAGGCCCTGGCCGGGCAGAGTGGCTCAAGCCTGTAATCCCAGCACTTTGGGAGGCCAGAGCAAGAGAATCACTTGAGCCCAGGAGTTTGAGAACAGCCTGGGCAACAGAGCAAGACTCCATCTCTACTAAAAATTACAAACATTAGCCAGGTGTGGTGGCATACACCTGTAGTCCCAGCACTTTGGGAGGCCGAGGCAGGCACATCACCTGAGGTCAGGAGTTCAAGACCACCCTGGCCAACATGGCAAAACCATGTCTCTACTAAAAATAAAAACAAATTAGCCGGGTGTGTGGCATATGCCTGTTGTCCCAGCTACTCAGGAGGCTGAGGCAGGAGAATCGCTTGAACCCAGGAGGTGGAGGTTGCAGTGAGCTAAGATTGTGCCACTGCACTCCAGCCTGGGCGATAGAGTGAGACTCCATCTCAAAAAAAAAAAAAAAAAAAAAAGGCCGGGCGCGGTGGCTCACGCCTGTAATCCCAGCACTTTGGGAGGCCGAGGCGGGTGGATCACGAGGTCAAGAGATCGAGACCATCCTGGTCAACATGGTGAAACCCCGCCTCTACTAAAAATACAAAAAATTAGCTGGGCATGGTGGCGCGTGCCTGTAATCCCAGCTACTCAGGAGGCTGAGGCAGGAGAATTGCCTGAACCCAGGAGGCGGAGGTTGTGGTGAGCCGAGATCGCGCCATTGCACTCCAGCCTGGGTAACAAAAGCGAAACTCTGTCTCAAAAGAAAAAAAAAAAAAGACAGGAAAGAAAAAAATTAGCCAGGTGTGGTGGCATATACCTGTAGTCCCAACTATTTGGGGACTGAGGTGGAAGGATCACTTGAGCCCAGGAGTCCAAGACTAAAGTGAGCTATGATCATGACACTGCACTATGCTAGGGAAACAGAGCAAGACCCTGTCTTAAAAAAAAAAAAAAAAAGTGAGCATTGTTTACAATAGCAAAGACATGGAATCAACCTAATTGTCCATCAATGATAGACTGGATAAAGAAAAAGTGGTACATCAACACCATGGAATACCGTGCAGCCATAAAAAGGAACAAGACCATGTCCTTTGCAGGGACATGGATGGAGCTGGCAGCCATTATCCTCAGCAAACCAGTGCAGCAAGAGAAAACCAAATACCACATGTTCTCGCTTCTAAGTGGGAGATGAACAATGAGAACACACGGACACAGGGAGGGAACGACACACACTGAGGCCTGTTGGCGTGTGGGGTTGGGAGGAGGGAGAGCATCAGGAAGAGTAGCTAGTGGATGCCGGGCTTAATACCTGGGTAATGAAGCGATCTGTGCAGCAAACCACCACGGCACACGTTTACCTACGTTACGAACCTGCACATGCTGTACGTGGACCCTCGAACTTAAAAGTTGGAAGTAAAAATAAGGTGGATCCTGAGACAAGAGTAATTGACTGGAATCAAACTCTGGTGTAAGCACTTCGTAACTGTGTGACCCTGCACAAGCTATTCAGCCTTATTCTGCTGCATTCCCTCCTCTTTTAGATGAGAATACTTGATTGTTATGTGAACAAGGGTTATTTGGTGACCTCTCAGTGGACAGGGAGCTACATCCAAAAACATTACCATGAACAAGAGTCCCCTCCCAGTGAGGTCACCAGAGGATACTGCACATGCTCGGGGGGAGGTGGGGAAGCACAGTCTGAAAACAATAAAATTGGGGGAAAAAAAAAAAAAAAAGGCAAAAGAGGTGGAAGGCAGGCCACAGTGGCTCAAGCTTGTAATCCTAGCACTTTGGGCGGATCACCTGAGTTCAGGAGTTCGAGACCAGCCTGGCTAACATGGCAAAACCCCATCTCTAACAAAAATACAAAAATTAGCCAGAGACGGCAGCGCAGGCCTGTAATCCCAGCTACTCAGGAGGCTGAGGCAGGAGAGTCGCTTGAACACCAGAGGTGGAAGTTGCAATGAGCCGAGATCACGCCACTGCACTCCAGCATGGGTGATAGAGCAAGACTCCATCTCAAAAAAGAAAAATCCTGCAGCCTCTTAACTTCACACGTTGGCCCTATGAAGTAGATAAAACTTTTATTCCTCTTTATACAAATAGAAAAAGTTCAAGAAGTTGAAGCTCATGATCCCACAGCTGGCAAACAGTAGTGCCAAGGCTGGAAGGGAAGCCTTTCTGACCACAGCCTCCGTGCTCTTAAACACAATAGCTAAGGCCCATGAAATACCCACTGGACACTAGCACAAACTCCAAGTGTAGAGCCTGGGGTGGGGGACTGACAGCCAGACTCACTCTGAAACACATCCTGAGTCATCGGGAAAGATATTCTCCATACACAGGCGAAGTGTAGTTAAGTTGTGACAATGCTTCACGCAGAATGAAGCTATGACCAAGTGTTCTATGTTAGCAATATAAATGTAAACTTCTTCAAAGAAATTCATCACCTGTGTTACAAATTCTTTTTCCTGAGTTTCAAATAAACAACTGAATAATTCCTGGAACCCTATCGCTTCCCTGTCAGCTTCACACTGACTGAAACTTTTAAGGCACTGGGCTATTTCCTGCTGGAGGTCTTTTGACAGTGGAAAACCAAAGGATGTCTCCAGGATGCTGGCGATTTCTTCTGTGGAAATTCCAAACACAAATACCCCCATCTGGGTCAAGAAGTTTTGAGGCTGAGCCACACTTGCTCTCACAAGCTGGGTTATGCTTCCAATGGCCGGGTTAGAACAGTCTTTGGGTCCTTTGAGCAAATAAAACATGGCGGCACAGAACTCTTGGATACACACGTGGACGAAGGTAAAACAGTCACCTGACCTCTGGAGAAGCTTCATACCCACCCACATCAAGCCCTCAGACTCAGACAACCCATTCCTCCGGAGATCCTCACGGCAAAACACAAACGTATGTGTCCACAGTCCCTCTGCAGCCAAAGCACTGAGGTTTTTCAGTCGGGCTCTGTTCAACTTGGGTGGAGAACTCTGACTTCCTGCTTTGAATACGTTTGTTATAAAGGATGCATGTAAAGAGGTGGTGTTTTGGGAGTTTATTTCAAGGTCTTCCCCCATCTCTAGCCTGTATTTCATGCAAGTACAGACCAACCAGCATATAAAGGGATTATGGCACAAGATAAACAGCGGTCCAGTCTCTCTCACAAAATTAAAGACTTTCAAGGCTTTATTCTTCTCACCAAAGAAGCAGGAGAAATACATCTTCCTTTCAGGTTCAGTGAATCCTGAGAGCTTGATGAGTTTGGGATGCTCCAACACAAAATAGTTCTTTCGCATACCCACTTGTCCCAATGCAAGAAGCAGGGAGCACTCCGGGAGCATCTTTTTTTGCAACAAACTGCTCAGGATAATTGGCAGTGGCTGCCGCTGCCTCCAGTCGTCACACAAGTCAGCCGTATGGTCCAGGTCAAGCTTCAGTTGCTCAAAGCCATCCATGATCAACAGAATTCGCTCTGGCTGGGAAAAAACGTCTTCGATCTTCTCTGAAGACTCAGGCCAGTCCCTAGAGAGGAGCTCCGGTAAGCTGGTCTCTGTGATACTGTTCATTTCATAGACAGTGAGGAAAAATACAAATGTGAACCTGTCCTTCCATAAGTTTCCCTCTGCCCAGTCCAACATCACTTTTCTTAAAAGGGTTGTTTTTCCGATTCCATCAGGACCTTCCACGACCACAGTGACTGGTGTAGCTGCAGCAGAATATGCCTTATTCAATACTGTACACTCATGCTTCATGCTTTCTTTGTAGAAATGCTCAGGGACGTGAAGACAGGTTTCCTTTTCCCATATGAGTTGAAATTTTTCCTTTATTTGCTTTCTATATGGGTTTAGTTTACCTGTGTTAATGAGAACAGAAGATGGTTAAAAACGAACTCATTCTTTTACACTCCTCAGAACTGTAAACAAAAAATAAAATTCTAATACCCACCAGCCATCTGAATGGAGGACATTCTTAGAGTGCTTTTAAAATTTAACCCGAGCCGGGCACGGTGGCTCACGCCTGTAATCCCAGCACTTTGGGAGGCCGAGGCGGGTGGATCACGAGGTCAAGAGATCGAGACCATCCTGGTCAACATGGTGAAACCCCGTCTCTACTAAAAATACAAAAAATTAGCTGGGCATGGTGGCGCATGCCTGTAATCCCAGCTACTCAGGAGGCTGAGGCAGGAGAATTGCCTGAACCCAGGAGGCGGAGGTTGCGGTGAGCCCAGATTGCACCATTGCACTCCAGCCTGGGCAACAAGAGCAAAACTCCGACTCAAAAAAAAAAAAAAAAAAAAAAAAAATTTAACCCGAAAGGCCACGTGCAGTGGCTCACGCCTATAATCCCAGCACTTTGGGAGGCCGAGGTAGGTGGATCACCTGAGGTCAGGAGTTCAAGACCAGCCTGGCCAACATAGTGAAACCCCGTCTCTACTAAAAATACAAAATTTGGCCGGGTGCAGTGGCTCGCGCCTGTAATACCAGCACTTTGGGAGGCCGAGGTGGGCGGATCATGAGATCAAGAGATCGAGACCATCCTGGCCAACATTGTAAAACCCTGTCTCTACTAAAAATACAAAATTTAGCTGGGTGTGGTGGTGCACACCTGTAGTCCCAGCTACTCGGGACGCTGAGGCAGGAGAATTGCTTGAACCTGGGAGGCGGAGGCTGAAGTGAGCCAAAATCGTGCCACTGCACTCCAGCCTAGTGAAAGAGAAAGCCTCTGTCCCCAAAAAAAAAAAAAAAAAAAAAAACCACCACACACACAAAATTTAGCCAAGCGTGGTGGTGGGCGCCTGTAAACCCAACTGTTCAGGAGGCTGAGGGCAGGAGAATCGCTTGTATCTGGGAGGCAGAGGTTACAGTGAGCCAAGATTGTACCACTGCACTCCAGCCTGGGCAACAAGAGGAAAACTCTGTCTCAAAAAAAAAAAAAAACTCAACCAATTGTCAGAGAATTTTTAAACCCACCTATAACCTGCCAGTGTCCCCCAACCCCCCAGCAGCTTCCAGTCGCCCCACCTTTCTCAGCCAAACCAACGTGTTTTTTTGTTTTTTTGGGACGGAGTTTCGCTCTTGTTGCCCAGGCTGGAGTGCAATGGCGCGATCTCGGCTCACCGCAACCTCGGCCTCCTGGGTTCAGGCAATTCTCCTGCCTCAGCCTCCCGAGTAGCTGGGACTACAGGCGCGTGCCACCATGCCCAGCTAATTTTTGTATTTTTTTTAGTAGAGACGGGGTTTCACCATGTTGACCAGGATGGTCTCGATCTCTTGACCTCGTGATCCACCCGCCTCGGCCTCCCAAAGTGCTGGGATTACAGGCTTGAGCCACCGCGCCCGGCCCAAATCTTTTTAAATATACTACAGAATTTGACTCTCTTCATTGGCAGAATGACGCCTAAAGGTTCACTTGAACACACAGGCCAAGACTGGCATACATATCAAGATAACCAGGCTGGTTAACTTAGTTTTGTCTAGAGCATAATCTGTCTGAAATCCTGTTCGTGGAAACACGTGAGCAAATTGGAAACCTAGAGTGGCAGACCACTGTGAGGTGTGAACGCCTGACAATTACATTCCAAGCTGGAAGGGGTGGCATCTCCCCAGTACAGAATCCGAAAGCACCACCGTTTACACCGTTTATTTGCTAAGTATCTACCGGGAGTCAGGGATGAGAGTGCGACGGCTGACTCCGCACGTTTCACCTCAACAACTCATTACAATTCATCCTGTTTCTACTTTCCAAATAACGTATCGAGTTGATGTGTCCGGACTAATTTAGACTAATCAGTATCAAGGGTCAGGTGTATGTCCCATGTGTGTTGGATCTGAAGCCGTAAGGTCTAGGTTATTTCTCTTGCACCATGCCGGCTGTACTGAATTTCAGAAATGCACCTCTGAACCATCGCTTGTTTTTTTTTCCTTTGCAGACAGGATCTCACTCCGTCACCCAGGCTGGAGTGCAGCGGCACAATGTCAGTTCATTGTAGCCTCCCACTCCCAGGCTCAAGTGATCCTCCTGCATCAGACTCCCACGTAGCTGGGACTATAGGCGTGTGCCACCACACGGTTAATTTTGGTTTTTTGGTTTGTTTTTTTGGTAGAGATGGGATTTCACTACGTTGCCTAAGGTGGTTTCAAACTCCTGGGCTCAAGCGACCCACCCACGTGCCGGAATTACAGATGTGAGCTGCCTTGCTCACCTGAACCTTCCTTCTTTCAACTTGCCTTTACGGCCTTCACCGGCCTTTCTGTCACTTCATTTTGGTCAACAGTGTTATAGTAACTGAGATTTGAGTGTTTCTGTTCCAACATCCAATGTTACTCCAATGATTAGAAACAAAATCCTACCCTACCTTCTCTCATCAGCCAGCTTTGCCTTCCCTGTACATCAGGACAGACATAAAGACATTCCTTTCATCCTTCAGTGGTAGTTCACGTATACTCCTAACATGACAATGACTTTTAAGAGATGACAGTCTCTCTTAATCCTGATGATTAAGAACCAGGATTGCAACCTTTATCTGATATTTCCAGTGACAGCTGTTATCAAACCAAAACTTAGAAACTTGTAAGAATTTTGGCCGGGTGCGGTGGCTCACACCTATAATCCCAACACTTTGGGAGGACGGGGGCTGAAAACCAGCCTGGCCCGCATAGTGAAACCCCGTCTCTACTAAACATACAAAAATTAGTCAGGTGTGGTGGCACATGCCTATGGTTCCAGCTACTCAGGAGGCCGAGGCACAGGAATTGCTTGAACCTAGGAGGCTGGAGATTACAATAAGCCAAGATCGTACCACTGCACTCAAGCGTGGGCAGCAGAGTAAGGCTCTGTCTCAAAAAAAAAAAAAAAGTTTCACTGTATCAATTGCTTCTCAAATTCATTCTGTCTATATAACTTCCCCTAATTTCTGCATTCTCTTTAATTAAACTGATAGCAGGTCACCTATCAGCAAAATACATATTTTATGCAAAGTTTAATGAGTGATGAGAAATGGGAAAGGGAGAAAAATTAAAATCCTGTTCATAATCTGAGTTTTCAAATTTCAGAAAAATCTCAAGTCTGGGAAGGGAATGAACAGACTGCAAAGGACCCTACAGTTGCTCACATAAAGGCAAGGATGGTTCCTCCAAGGTGTTTGTTCTCCTTGCACGCTGAACTGTGGACACAAGAGGGCGCAGCATCCATTTTTATTCTCCGCTATATCCCTTTACCACCACCACAAAGGAGTTCTTCAAGTCTCTGAGCAGTGACACAGCTTGTGCAAAGTTATTATTGTAAAGCTGTCTCGAACTTAAAACACAGGTGCTAGGCACGGTGGCTCACGCCTGTAACCCCAGCACTGTGGGAGTACTGAGGCAAGAGGATCACTTGACGCCAGGAGTTCGAGACCAGCTTGGCCAACATAGTGAGACTTCGTCTCTATTAAAAAATAATAAGGCCCGGCACGGTGGCTCACGCCTGTAACCCCAGCACTTTGGGAGGCTGAGGCGGGCAGATTACGAGGTCAAGAGATCGAGACCAGCCTGACCAACATGGTGAGACCCTGTCTCTACTAAAAAATACAAAAATTAGCTGGGCATGGTGGCACGCGCCTGTAGTCCCAGCTACTCGGGAGGCTGAGGCAGGAGAATTGCTTGAACCCAGGAGGTGGAGGTTGCAGTGAGTCAAGATTGCACCACTGCACTCCAGCCTGGCACCTGGTGACACAGTGAGACTCTGTCTCAAAAAAAAAATAATAGCAATAAAACGTAGATAAAAAGGAAGTAAGGCCATTCCAAAATTTCATCAATGTGTGTAATCATGGTTCATAGCTTGACCTGAGTCTGTATTACTCCATGTTTTTCTTCGGCCTAATTTTTATCTCTACAGTAGAGTTACATTGTTTGTACTATTTTGGAACCTTGTTTTTGACTGAATGTTATGGACATCTTTCTAAATTCATGCACATTTTCCATCATAAAACCCTATGCTCTTTATTATTTTGTGAGATGCAGTCTCATTCTATGGCCTAGGCTAGAGTCAGTGGTGTGATCTCAGCTCACTACAACTTTTGCCTCCCAGGTTCAAGAGATTCTCATACCTCAGCCTCGAGAGCAGCTGGGATTACAGGTGCGAGGCCATCACACCTGGCTAATTTTTGTATGTTTGGTAGATACAGGTCTCACCATGTTGACCAGGCTGGTCTTGAACCCCTGATCTCAGGTGATCTGCCCACCTCAACCTCCCAAAGTGCTGGGATTACAGGCATGAGCCACTATGCCCAGCAAAACCCAAAACCCTATGCTATTTAATTGAATGGGTTTATCATTCTATTTTCACTTTCTATATTTGCCCATAATAAATATTTGCTGACATCCCCAGGTTTTTTTGAGATAAAATTCTTAAGCAGTATTATTTAAAATTGAAGATGTATCATTATTCATGGAATACCTACTATGTACCAGAAATGTAGGAATCTATATTATAATTAATAAAAGAAAAAATCTATACATTAAAGTTGTTTGATTAAAGGCAAGGAAAATGAAGCCTTTGACCCCTGTTTCCAGCATGCAACTCAGGTTACAGTGCTTAGTGGCTTCCTCTCCTCCTCTTAAAAACAATGAAAAGGTTGGCCAGGCGCGGTGGCTCATGCCTGTAATCCCAGCACTTTGGGAGGCCGAGATGGGTGGATCATGAGGTCAGGAGTTCAAGACCAGCCTGGCCAACATGGTGAAACCCCATCTCTAAAAAGAAAAAAAAAAAAAAAAAAAAAATGAAAAGGTCACATTACAATATTCATGTACCATCTCAGAGATGAAATAGGACATTTAGGATTCAGTGTCTCAAGTGGGGAACTCTCAGTTTAGACATTGACTCAGCCACTCTTTCATCTGCCAACATAAAATTTTCAGCAGAAAAATCAAAGACACTAACCACACAGATAAAGAAAACTGCCAGGCGCAGTGGCGCACATCTATAATC